ATAAGAGTACCTTTTGTTTTTCTGAATATATTTTATCTCTGTCAGATGCTAATTTTTGTGCGAAATTTGAATGCTAAATTATTTAATAAACAAATCATGTTTTAAAAATTTGATTATTATTACTATTATTTGTAAAATCGATCGATCGATCAATTAATTTCATTTTTTACTTTTTTACGAATTTCTTCTTTCTTTGTTGAAACTAATTTAACTTGTTCCATTATACTAGATGTTATTGTCTCTGACAATTTTAATTTCTCTTTAGCAATATTATCAGTTTCTTCAAGAAGAGTCATCCATGCCTTTAATGTTGTACTTTTACAAATATGTGTTAATTATACATTTTATAAGACATGACATATTAATAACGCAAGTAAATTAATATTAATATCAATAATGAACCAGAAATAATACCTTGAATCTTTATTAATATCGAAATCGGTTGCAATTGAAGAAGCCGATTCACCAATAGACATTACAATTACTTTTTTGTCTCGCTTACTTGAATGTTTCTTTACAAGACCTTCTATTTTGTGTGCATACTCTTTTTCTATTTGTGCTCGCTCTTTTAGAAAATCTCTAAATTCGTTTAAAAATTGTATTCCACCTTGAACGAATTGATTTACATTTGAAAATTGATCCTAAATAATTTTAGAAAAAAAAAATACATTATTATATGCGTGCGGAAACTTGCGTGTATCTGTTTTAAACGTTTACCTTTAATTCTTTACCAAAGCTCATTTTTTTTTTAATTTAATTAATTTGAGAAAAGAAAAAAAAATTATAATAATAATAAATAATCAAGATTTACACCATGTAAATATTTACATTTTCGGAAAATTGTTTATTTGTCATACATATACACACCGCAATCACATAATAATAACCACACCAGTGATAGGGGAGGGATTCTCTTTTCACTAAAACATTCTTTATGTGGTCACGTGAAAACGCGTCTACCTTCTTTACATGCCAACAATCCAAACGACGTCAAAGATATCAAAGAATATGTAAATTTATTTATTTAAAAAAGTCAAAAAAAAAAAAGATAGAAATAGAAGATTAATATATATAAATATATATAATAAATAGATAATCATAATGGTGACCAGTGCTTTGTTTGTTACAATTAATTAATACTAATTACTCATCACTAATTAATATTCAACAATAATAATAATAATTAAAGTATTTCTGGAAAGTTATAAAGATCATATCCTTTATTATTATTATTACTATTGTCAGTATTTGGATTCATTGTGTTGTTATTATTAGCAGTATTTGATTGAAGATTAAAACCTTGTGGTTGTGCAAACGAATTAGTAGTCGATGATGACAACAAAGAAGATGGCGACGAAAATAACCCGGTCGTTTTTTGTTGTGAAAACGTCGAAGCTTGTTGTTGCTGCTGCTGCTGTTGTTGTTGCTGTTGTTGTTGTTGCTGTTGTTGTTGTTGTTGTTGTTGTTGTTGTTGCAGTGATTGAAATCCTAATCCACCATTACCACTACCATTTAGAGCATAATTTAGATCCATTCCCGCGCCAAACGTATTACCGCCGCCGCTACTGCCACCACCACCACCAAATCCATTATTACCGAAGCCGCCCATATTTGCACCACCACCACCACCGCCGCCAAATGGATTGATATTATTAGTTAGAGAAGAAGAAGACGATGTGCCAAAAATGCTCGGTGTATTTTGTTGTTGTTGAAATCCCCCCACTCCTCCATAACTATTATTATTATTATTAATCGATCCACCTCCAAATATCGATGATGATGCCGTTTGTCGTTATTGTTACTTCTGATGATATTTATTATTATTATTATCTGAAAATTCTTTTAACGTTTTCATCAATTTTCGCCAGTAAGGAACCTTCGGAAGCCTTGGACGATATCCACTTTTAAAATATTGCTCAAAGGGTTAACGTGAACCTGAGTTGTCGAGTACAATCAGTGGAATAAAAAAAACCACATGGAAGCATAACCGAACCGGATATCTGCTTTCGAATCGGTTTACAATTTCCAAACTCAGTCACAAAAAATACACCAGCCAATATTCCAAATTTTAAATCGTAATATATAGCGGGTTTTTTTTTAAAATTTTATTAATTATTTAAATAATCCTCTCACACACACATTCCGATTCTTATATTAATATTAAAAAAAGTGGTTTGAATCTGGTTTCCGTCAACTCAAATACAAATTATCGTTAATATTAATATTAATTATTTATAACAATAATAATAATAAATAATCCCCCCCAAAAAAAAAAAGTGTATTAATATTAATATTAATATAGCGCAAAGACACTTGATCCCTACAATAAGATTTTACGGTCACGTGGTTTGTGAAAAACGAGCAATAAATAACAATAATATATATTAATATCTTGGTCATAAAAAAAGTAAACAACAACTTATCATCCAAGAAACATTTGAAAAAAAAATGATGGTGATGGAGATTATTGTCCAAAACTCATCATCATTCTATATAGTTGTTATTATAAAATTAAAAACTCTGCCAAAAATAGAAAATAAACTTCGAAGGACTTGACGAATGATATTGGTGATCGCGAGTCAAATACTTGGCATTGGTGTAAATAAAGCAAATATAGGTTTTCTTCAAGTAGTAAGAAACGTTCTAACATTCCATGATATTGAAAAATTCACCCACCAACAACATCCTTGGATGATAGATGACAACTATCCCGCCATCAACACTAAAATACCACCACCACCTACCTAGTTATTCTGCTCGTATCCACCACACATTCAACAAAATCTGCCAGGTAAATATATTATTGAGGTTGTGGAAATTTCTAGAATTCTTGTTTTTATACAATGATAAAGCATATTTAGTAGACGAGATAAATACTTTTTTCACAATCAATACCTGATAATGTAGCAAACTCATATGTGTTGAAAGGAATAAATAATAATAATAAAACTAATAAATAAAAGAAATAATTTGAAACAACAGCTACATCGAATAACAACCGCAGTTTATGCATCATAAAAAAGTTGTCATGGAATCCAAATAAGATTTTTGCATCAAAGTTGTACAAAGGCTGCCAAAGATGATTATTATTTTTCGTAGAGTTCTATCGTTTGGGTAAAATTTATGATTTACATCAATCATCACATGTATAAAGTATTAATTTTTTGTTTTAATATCATTTATTGGCCGAATAATTGAAAATTGTTGTTTAAATCACAACCGCAGTTGATTCTGAAAGTAACTCATCTAATATCAAACCTTCTATATACCGTCAAACTCAAGCACAATCTCACAATGTAGATGTATATATATATATATATATATATTTACGCTATATATTATCATGTCCCATTATTATTACATGCTCATATAATCAATCATCTTTAAAGTTAAACAAAAAGAAAAAAATTCCAATTTCAAATTTGTGCTAATCACTCCTTCACTCTCCAATAGATTCATCAGGTAATTGGGTGTTTTGCCTAATCACATTTACTTTGGTGGTTGTGGCACTCTTTTGAAGTAAAGGTTCCAATGTGATTATATATATATATATATATATTTCTCTTGGATCTAATTTGAAAATTTCCCAAGTGAATTAGGATCTCAACCAGATTCTTATTAGATCAGATTCTTTTTTAAAAGCAAAATCATCAATCAACCACATATGGTATGTCCAGTCCCTGTTCAGATCCACAGTACAATGGAAAATTCTGTTTGATAATTCCAACTGATAACAAGGACGAGTCTATGGTTTTGAATGATCCAATGTTTGGTTCCTTTATTGGTTCTCTTGCTAACATTGCATCTCAATTAAAGCATGATATGTTACTTTACTATACACTATCTTTACGTATTCTAATTTCTATCTCAACGCCAATAAAATTTCTGTGACAAAGTCACTTTCACTATATATCAACCAACAAACCAACCAACCAACTATATCAATAATATAAGCGAGAGCGATTTCTACAAGTGTAAAAAATTCATGATCTACTTTGATTTTAGATACACCGGTCATATGATGTTGATTTATGACCAATCAAATAATTAATGTTCTTTTCCCAAAAAAAAAAATATTATTTTAAAAAAAAATTACTCGATTTCGATCAAAAATATTAATAATAGATACAATAATATATAATTCATAAATTAAAAAAGAAAAAAAAAGATGGTTGTTTGTAAATATTTTATTGAAGGACGCTGTAGATTCGGTAATTCATGTCAGTATGAACATTCTGGTCAACCCTCCTCGTCCTCGTCTTCCTTTTCATCAACTCATCATCAGCAACAATCACGTAGTACTGGTCAAAACAACATATACTCACGATTAGGCTTCTGTAAGTTGAAAGGAGAAACATTCACATATATATATATAATTCACTTATTTATTGATTGATTTTGATTTTAGTATAAATTTAATTTATTTATTGTTTTCTAATAAATTCAGCGGCGAAACAAAATAATGAGTATACAAGCATAATTTTTATATAAATATATATATATATATACATACATACACACATATATACATTTATTTATTTTTTATTTTCACCATTAATTAAATTAAATTAAATTAAAATTGAATTATTAAATTAATTAAATTGTTGAAGGGCCGAAGCAAATTTAAGAAAAGACTTGATTGAAGAGAGACCGATATATCGATATTCAGTATTTGCTCCAATGAAAGATGAACCTAACATGATAGAAGGAACAGATTTTTCACCGGAAGAATTAAGATTAGAATATTATAACATTAACAATACGTATGGAAACGACGCACAATATGTACGTGCCGTAATAATTCTTCGTTTATAACGACAAAATGTTTAAATTAATTAAATAATAATAATAATATTATTATTATTATTGTTATAATGTTAAATAGCAACAAGGTGTAAGAGATTTGGAAGAAAGAATGCAAAGTAAAATTGATTCAATACTTAAAGATGTTAGTGGTGCATGTAACGAACATGAATTAAAGAAACAACAATCCAAACGACGTCA